GATGAATTGATGATGATGATGATGATGATGATGATGATGATGATGATGATGATGATGATGATGATGATGATGATGATGATGGTGATGGTGATGGTGATGGTGATGGTGATGGTCATGGTCATGGTCATGGTCATGGTGATGGTGATGGTGATGGTGATGGTTATGAGGATGAGGATGCGGATGAGGATGAGGAATGAAGTTGAGGATGAGGATGAGGATGAGGATGCGGATGAGGATGAGGAATGAAGTTGAGGATGAGGATGATGATGAGGATGATGATGAGGATGAGGATGAGGATGAGGATGAGATGATGATGATGATGATGATGATGATGATGAATGATGATGATGATGATGATGATGATGATGATGATGATGATGATGAATGATGATGATGATGATGATGAGGAGGAGGAGGAGGAGGGAGGAGGAGGAGGAGGAGGAGGAGGAGGAGGAGGAGGAGGAGGAGGAGGAGGGGAGCAGGAGCAGGAGCAGGAGCAGGAGCAGGAGCAGGAGCAGGAGCAGGAGCAGGAGCAGGAGCTGGAGCAGGAGCAGGAGTAGGAGGGAGGAATGAGAGACCATCATACCAAGGTTGAAGGGAAAGAGGGGGTATCTGAGGCGGCAGCGTGGCGTGGCGGTGCGCGGCGCGTGGGGGGCCCCGGGGGGCCCATGCTTGAGGGTCCTCCTCCCTGTTGGGTCCCCTGCCCCGTATTGTCAGTGCCAGGGGAGCTCCCTCCCCAGCAGGGGTGCCCTGAGTGTCTGAGGAAGGAGGGGGATGAGGAGGAAAAGGAGGAGGAGGAGGAGGAGGAGGAGGAGGAGGAGGAGGAGGAGGAGGAGGGAGGAGGTGGAGGAGCAGAAGCAGGAGGCGGAGGGGGAGGAGGCGGAGGAGGAGGAGGAGGCGGAGGGGGAGGAGGCGGAGGAGGAGGAGGAGGAGGAGGAGAAAGAGGCGGAGGAGGAGGAGGAGGCGGAGGAGGAGGAGGCAAGGAGGCGAAGGCGGCTGAAAGTGGTGGTGAAGGCGAGGCGCGTTGCGGCAGCAGGAGGCGAGGAGCGTTGCAGTGGCAGGCGGTGGGTGTGGGCGGCAGGCGGCCCGGGCGGTAGAAGGTTCCGCGGGGCCCCCTCTGGGGTGCCGCTTGCAGCGGGGAAGGGTCCACGGGCCTCTCCCTCTGGCCACAGGAATCTCGGCTCGACGTAAGAGTGACCTTTCGCCGGAGTGACCTTCTGGTGCGGGCCCACCGGGGCCCCACGATCGACGAGCGCGACGCGATAGCAGCGGCCTGCGCGCTTGGGTTTGGCCTCTTCGCGTCCCCCCAGAAGCTGCGCACCAAAGGTCACTCTTACCCAGGGTCACTCTTGCGTGTGGCCGAGAATCCCCCAGGCGTCCCAGATGCCGACGGCGGGATCCCCCGACTGCAGGCAGGCGGCGGTTTCTTAGCACGTCGGCCTCTGGGGCGCCTTTGGGGTTTCCAGCGAGCATGAAGGAGGTCTGGGCCCTCCCCCAATGGCAGCGTGGCGGCGGCACCGGCCACGCTCGCCAAGGTAGATGGCAGAAAGGCCTCACCCCCTGCACGTAGGAAGCCTTCCTAAGCAGCCACCATCCCCATGACTGGTACCTTCCCTCGCCGAGGCAGGAGTAGGGCACCCAGATCATGGGAGCGGTGGCTGCTTGGGGGGGGTCCACCGTGCGTGGGGGTGGTTTCTGCCATCTGCGGCGGTGGCGCAGGTGTGTTGTGGTTTGTAGACCCCGCCCCCAACCTATCATACAATAGCCCAAACCTCCTTTGTTGCTGCAGGCAACTCTTGGTTGCGGCTGCTGGTGCCCTGGTGGCTGGTGGCAGTTGCCGGCTGCGACCGCGGCCGCCCTGACCCTGGCCAGGACGGCCTGCGGTGAGCCCTCTCCGCGCCGTCTCCGTATCTCCCACCCCTCCCCACCACAGGAGGAGGGAGGAGGTCAGGTGGCCACGGTGGGGGGAGGCGGGGCTGCACGCAGGTGGGCCGGGAGGGGGGGCCCCGGGTGCTCAGGGCATGCGGCCACTCGGTGTGCTGCCGTCGCGGGGGCCGCTGGGCGTCGCGGGGGCCGTTGTGGGGGCCGTTGTGGGGGCTGGCCGCAGGCGCGCGCGGGGGACGTCTTGGGAGGAGGGGACGGCTGCGGCCGTCCCTCTGGGCCGCGGGCTCCCTCTCAGGGCGGGCGGCCTCTCGGGATGCCGAGCCCGCTGCGGGGCAGGCGGCGCCAGCTTTGGCCTGGCCAGCCCGTGGCGGCCGCTGCGCATTCGGCTGCACGCTGGGTGACGACGACGTCCGGCATTCGTTTGCTGCCCAAAGCTGTGGCGCTTCGTAGCGTCCGGACTGGGCCTGGCTGACCCTGGCACTCGGGCAGGGCGCACCACCCGCGCGCTCTTGTGGCAGCCCGGCGTCCTTGCCGATAAGGTCGCCAGGACGGCCACCATGGTCGAAGTCGGCTACAGAGCGCACGCCACTCTGCGGCTCGCGGCCGGCGCCCGCCTCGATGTCCCGAGGCTGTTCGCCGAGGTGTTGCCGCAGCTGCAGGAGCCGCGGGTCGCGGCTGGTTCGGCCGCCGACGGCGAGTGAGATCGCTGTGAGCGAGGGGCTGTCCTGGCCCTCTTCCTCTTGGTCCTTCGTCCTCTTCCTTCTCCCTCGAAGTCTGGCGCTCGGCTATCCGCGAGCCCCGCCAATGAGGTGGCTGGGCCCCGTCGCGGCTGGGCCGTGGCTGGGTGATTGCCACCTCGTTTGGGGGAATCGGCCTGTGCGGGTGACAGCAAGACCGTTGCGCCGAGAATCCTGCGCCCCCACCTTTTCCTGTCCTGTTTCCTGTCTCTGGATGTTCGCCGAGTTTTAAGCCGCCGGAGAAACCGACCATCTTCAGTCAAGCATGGTCGGTTTTCGTTTTTGGTGTTCTCTCTCTCTCTCTCTCTCTCTCTCTCCCTCTCTCCCTCTTTCCTCCGTCTCTTCCTCGCTCCCCCCCCGCGCACGTCGTCTCCCCCAGTGAGTCCTTGCATGGGGGCTTTGGCCCCGCCCGCTGCCCTTCGGCCGGGCCTCCTCAGGTCCGCCCGGCCTCCGGGCTCCCTCGGAGCCTCCGCTGGCCCGCTCCAGGCCTCGTCTGGGCGATCGGGCTCCAAACGTAACATATCAGCTGCCAATTCCGTATTGCTGGCCGTCCTTTTTCTCTCGGGTGATCTATTGCCGTGGGTCGCTTTAATCTGTCTGTCGCACTTGCCCTCTCAGCTCGCGTCTTCCTGCCTTCTCCGCCTCTCCTGTGTTGGGGCCCTTTTTCCCAGCATCTTGAAGCTCGGTCGGCGCCAGTGTGTATTTTGGGCCCAGGGCTATGGGGCCTGGTTATCTCTTGCGCTGGTCTCCCGCTGATCGGCCTATTGGCACTGGTCATTGCGCCGCAGGGGTCGTGGCTAGGTCATCTGGAACAAATCGTCTCGGCGATTATGTCTTTGCGCGCGAGCTGGTGGTTGAACATCGCGTTTTGTAGCGCGAGTTGTTTGTCCGCCACAGCCCTTGTTGAAGAGGCTGGCGTCAGCTGTGGAAGCACGTGGTCCGCTCCCATCTTCTCCCTCCCCCCAACAAAAACTTTGGCCTGGCCAGCGGCCCCTGTGGCCGCTTCCTTGGGTATGCCCCCTTACGGGCTCCCTCGCAGGGTATGCGGTCACTCGGGGTGCGGCCGTCATGGGGGCCGTTGGGTGGGGGGTCGCGTCGGGTCAGGGCGCGGGGTCGTGGGGGCCGTCGCGGGGGTCGTCGCGGGGGTCGTCGCGGGGGTCGTCGCGGGGGTCGTGGGGCAGACGGTCGTGGGGTAGGGGTTCGTGGGGGGTCGTGGCAAAGTAGGCGTCGTAGCCACACGCTGGGATGAAGAGCGGCAGCAGGAGGGCCTCGTGGTTACCATGGCTGGCTCTGGCGTCTGCGGACCAGTAGCTGGGTGGCCAGGCCGTGGCGGGTACCTCGATGACGATGTACCTATTGTTGGTGGCGCCCGTCGGGTTGCCGAACTGCTTTTCGGCGACTGGTTTGTCTGGTTCGCGGTCGATGCAGGGGAGTAGTTATCCCAAATATTTGAGGGATGCTTTCGCAGTGAGAATCCAATCCTGTTGAGTGCCTCCACTGTCCACTTCGTAATTTTTAACCGCTGTGGATGTGGGAGAGCATGGAGAAGCATGTGAGACAGCCATCGCCAGCGGCCTCTGAAATTTATTTCATGATGTGTCTCGATCGCGGGCGCCCGATGCCCACCTGAGGGCTGGTCGCCGCGGTTGGCAGCAGCACTCGCCTCAATCGCTCGGGCGGGCCGCGGTTTGAGCCAAAATGGCTGCGGACCTCCTCCTCCTCTTCCTCTTCTTCCTCCTCCCTCTCCTCCTCCTCCTCCTCCTCCTCCTCCTCCTCCTCCTCCTCCTCCTCCTCCTCCTCCTCCTCCTCCTCCTCCTCCTCCTCCTCCTCCTCCCTCCTCCTCCTCCTCCTCCTCCTCCTCTCCTCCTCCTCCTCCTCCTCCTCCTCCTCCTCCTCCTCCTCCTCCTCCTCCTCCTCCTCCTCCTCCTCCCCCTCCTCCTGCCCCCCCCGCGTCTTGGGCGTTGGCCAGAAGTGGCCGCCAGAAGTGGCCCTGGCCCAATTTGCCCGCGGCTTTCCCAGGGAGGCGCAGATGGCTTCCACAGCACCCTTCTCACGTTGCCAGGAGGGCCCCAGGAGGCCCAGCCGTGGCGTGAGGAGTTGGGAGCGCTCTGGGCCAGGACCCCGACCCCTCCCGCCACAGGAGTGGCCGCCTCACGCCTCACTTCCGCCAGAACCCCCACGCACGGCTCACTGCGCAAGCTCGGCCAAAAAGCCTTGCCCCCCCCACGCTGCTACCTCGTCCTCCCTCCTCATCCGTCCTGCACTTTTCCTCTTCACTCTGCTTCTAATTCTCAACCAAATCGTCCTCGTCGTCGTCCTCGTCTTCCCTGCCTTCCTCCCTCCGTCCCTCCCGCCACGGTGGTGGCCGCTTTGGCCGAGGCCCGATGGCGAGTTTTGCATCGAAGAGGCTGGCGCAGGACCCCGACCGCGGCGGCGGCGGCGGATGCGGATTGGAGAGCCTGGGGCAAGTCGGGTGTCCGAGATGGCGCGCCTGAGGAGGAGAGTCGGGCGAACCTCTTGCGCACTGAGGGGCCCTATAATTCTGAATGTGCCCCCCCGGGGCCCCAAAGGGGCTCGAGGAGGAGGAGGAGGAGGAGGAGGAGGAGGAGGCGGAGGAGGAGGACTAGGACTAGGACTAGGAGGAGGAGGAGGAGGAGGAGGAGGAGGAGGAGGGGGAGGAGGAGGAGAAGAGGAGGAGGAGGAGGACGATGAGGAGGACGAGGCAGGCTGAGGCTGAGGCTGATGCACGCCGAGGCAAGCTGAGGCTGAGGCTGAGGCTGAGGCTGATGCAGGCTGAGGCTGAGAGGCTGACGCTGAGGCTGAGGCCGATGCAGGCTGAGGCTGAGGCTGAGGCAGGCTGAGGCTGAGGCAGGCTGAGATTGAGGCTGAGGCAGGCTGAGGCTGAGGCTGAGGCTGATGCAGGCTGAGGCTGAGGCTGAGGCCGAGGCAGGCTGAGGCTGAGGCTGAGGCCGAGGCAGGCTGAGGCTGAGGCTGAGGCAATCCGAGGCAGGCTGAGGCTGAGGCTGAAGCTGAGGCAGGCTGAGGCTGAGGCTGAGGCTGTGGCTGAGGCTGAGGCAAGCTGCGGCTGAAGCAGGCTGAGGCTGAGGCTGATGCAGGCTGAGTCTGAGGCTGAGGAGGCTGAGGCTGAGGCTGATGCAGGCTGAGACTGAGGCTGAGGCCGAGGCAGGCTGAGGCTGAGGCTGAGGCTGATGCTGAGGTAGGCTGAGGCTGAGCCAGGCTGAGACTGAGGCTGGGCAGGCTGAGACTGAGGCTGAGGCAGGCTGAGGCAGAGGCTGAGGCTGATGCAGGCTGAGGCTGAGAGGCTGGCTGAAGGCAGGCTGAGGCTGAGGCTGAGGCCTGAGGCTGAGGCTGAGGCTGGCTGAGGCTGAGGCTGAGGCTGAGGCTGTGGCTGAGGCTGAGGCAAGCTGCGGCTGAGGCAGGCTGAGGCTGAGGCTGAGGCTGATGCAGGCTGAGGCTGAGGCAGGCTGAGGCTGAGGCTGAGGCTGAGGCCGAGGCAGGCTGAGGCTGAGGCCGAGGCAAGCCGAGGCAGGCTGAGGCTGAGGCTGAGGCTGATGCTGATGCTGAGGCAGGCTGAGGCTGAGACAGGCTGAGGCTGAGGCTGAGGCAGGCTGAGGCTGAGGCAGGTTGAGGCTGAGGCCGAGGCAGGCGAATCCTTCGGAATCCTTGGGATTCCCTAGGAATCCTTAGGAATCCCTGGGAATCCCTAGGAATCAGGATTCCTAAGGATTCCTAAGGTTCCCAAATGATTCTTCAGGCTTACGCCACATCCGCCGACCCCTTGTTTTTTTCTCTTCGGGGGGCGAAGTTCGGGTTTCGGGGGGGGGTCTTTTGGAAGCTCTGTGTGGCGGCCTGAGGGCATCATGACGCACAACGTCCCGCGAGACGCCAATCAAGGCACCCTGAAGTGCACGACATGCAAATGATGTCGAATCGGGCACGCGTACTGGTGAGAAAACGGAGGACGGAGACAGGAGAATGGAGATGAGGCGGAGGATAGGGTGGGGGGCGAATCATCGAATATGACGAGGTGAAGCGGACCAGGAACAAGAGGAGGGCGACGAGGAGGAGGGGAACGTGGAGAGGGTGGAGGAGGACGAGGAGGAGGGGAACATTGGTATGAGGCTCTGAGTTATGGTCTATGGGTGAGAAATTCTTGTATGTGTATAGCGATTTCGCGGCACGCCTTTCGGGGACCTCTGGAAAACAGTTTTGAAGCCACCGGGGGGCCGAGGTGGACAAGGACGGTGAGGAGGAGGAGGAGGAGGAGGGGGACACGGAGGAAATGAAGGACGGGGGGAAAAGAATCGACGAGGATGAGGATGAGGCGAGGGAGGAAGAGCAAGAATGGGCGAGGGGCTAAGGATTCCTAAGGTTTCCAAATGATTCCTATGGCTTCCTACGGATGCCTAAAGATGCCTTAGGATTCCCAAGTAATCCTAGGGATTCCATTGGATCCTAAGGCCGTTGCTACTGCGACTGTCATTGCGAATGCGACTGCGACTGCGAGAACAGCAGACTTCTACAATTGGATTCTCACCTGAATCTTAAGGGGAATGCTTCCAGATATGCTTATACACATCGCTGTTAGGTTGCTTTACCGGGATTTTGTTTTGCCATTTCGCTGAAACGCATCATAATCACAATATGTGAACGATCAAACAAATATGAGGAGGAGGAGGAGGAGGAGGAGGAGGAGGAGGAGGAGTAAAATGTTAGTACCAAAAATAAGAGCATATGATAACACGACGAATACCAACGTCATTCATACTACGAATAAGCAGAATTTGAGAAGCGGAGGCGGAGGACGAGGAGGACGAGGATGAGGAGGGCGAGGACGAGGACGAGGACGTGGACGAGGACGAGGACGAGGACGAGGACGAGGACGAGGACGAGGACGTGGGAGGAGGAGCCTCCCCCCTCCGGGCACGCGTCCCTCGGGCCCACCCGCGCTCGCGCCGAGCGGGCGCAAGGAGCGCGCGGCCTTTAAGAAGGATCACCCGTTCGGGTTTTACGCCAAGTGCCCCCCCCCCCTCTGGCCGCCCGTCCGTCGCCCTCGTCCCATGTCGAGGGCAAGCATGGCCTCGCCTCCCATCGTCGCCTCCTCCTCCGCCTCCTTCTGCTCCTCCTCTTCCTCCTGCTCCTCCGCTCCTGCTCCTCCTCCTCCTCCTCCTCCTCCTCCTCTCTGCACCGCTTCCACTGGTGCCCGCAGTCATTGCGGCGATTCCCCAAAAATCGGTCGCAGATGCGAGAGTTTTTGCTTACGGCTCTTCATGTTTCTCTCAGGAGGAAATGAGCTCGGGGCGAGGCATCGACCTCCACTCGCCCATGCATCGCCCATACGGGCCCGATATGGCCCACCACGCCTAGGAAGGTGCGGCTTCGCCATCGGGGGCCCACCGCCGATCTGTCGGCGACGTATCGGCGGTGCTTGTGCTCCGCTGTCGCTGGCGTTGCCTACCGTGGAGTTGCCCAGCGAAGGACGCGAAGACTCGCTCGAGCGCCCCTCCTCCCTGCTCCCTCCTTTTTCCTCCCTCCTCCTCCTCCTCCTCCTCCTCCTCCTCCTCCTCCTCCTCCTCCATCTCCCCCCCTCCATCTCCCCCCCTCCTCCCTCCTCCCTCCTCCTCCTCCTCCTCCTCCTCCTCCTCCTCCTCCTCCTCCTCCTCCTCCTCCTCCTCCTCCTCCTCCTCCTCCTCCTCCTCCTCCTCCTCCTCCTCCTCCTCCTCCTCCTCTCCTCCGCTGATGTTCGACAGCGAGCAAGAGCCGGGGCTGGAGGCATCTCGATGGCACCTCCCTCCTGGGCGGGCCGCGTGCGCACCGAGGGGCGTCGACGAAGGCTGCCGGCGGGCGGTCCGAGAGGCCCGGCTCTGGTCGTCGATCTCGGCCCCTGGGGCCCGCTGTCGAACATCAAGGGAAAAAAGGAGGAGGAGGATTAAGAGGAGGAGAAGAAAAGGAGGAGGAGGAGGAAGAGGAGGAGGAGGAGGAGGAGGAAATGATTCCGATCCCGCTGCTCAGCCTGGAGGTGTCTCTTGTCGCGGCTTTCTCCTCGAGATTCTGGTCAGAACGCACCACAGGAGGAGTCCGAGGAGCAGCGGCATCGGTACTCGAGCCCAGATTCCCGTCGATTCTTTTCTTGATTTCGGCCTCTGGGGGCCCTCGTCGGGCCCTGGGGCACTCAACAACGGTTCCAGGATGAAGAGCTACTCCCCTCGGGGAAGTCGTCGGACCCGCTCAGGGCCGCGGGATGAGTCAATCACACCGTCGGATGTTTGTGAAGGGGTCCTGAAAAGGTCTGGGCCCCTTTCCGAGGACCCGCTTCTTTGCCTGAACCTTCATTTGATCGTCCTCGGGCCCAGTAAGGCCCCGAGGGGCCGAAAACTGTCGAACATGGTCCCCCGTGTTTTTTTTTTCATGATTCGAGAAGATATGGCCCCCTGCTCTTGATCTGATTCGAGCTTCCCTGCTCCTCCACCACGGAATATCGCGGACCACTTTCTCAGGAAGGTCAGGCCAGCCCACATTGGAATGGGCTAAGTTCCTCCTGCCGCATGTGCAACAGCTGTCTGCCGAACGTCACGGGTGGCAAGATTCTTCCCAAGACGAGTGTGCTTGGAGGCGACACCTGCGCTGCGGTAGTGCCTGCCGGCGCGCCCCCCCTGGCGTTCGGCCTTCTTTCTCCCCTGGGATCCGACGTTGCAAAAACATTCTGCGAGGACGCAGCAAAAACCACGACATGGATCCCGGACCCGATCTTTCTGCGCCCTTTTCCGAGCCAGACCGATCTGTGAGGGTTCCGCGGCCGGCCACTGTGCGAAAACGCCCGTTGTTAAAAAAGCGCAACGCCAAGATCTCAGGGTCAGTCGGTTTTCGGCCCATAGCTCGGCTCTCCGGAGGGCCGTTCGGGACGACCCAGGCACCCTCGGAACGCTGTCGGTGAGGCGCAGCCGCTGAAAGGCATCCCGAGGCCAGAAAGCCGCCGAGAACCGACGAATGCGCCAGAAAACTTCAAAATATCGAACATCGAATTTCTCAAGCAGGGCATTCTGCAGTATGGATTCTGAGTGGACTCTGTGGATTTTTCCATCTTGGGCGTGGGTTTGCGCATGGATTCCGCGGCGCGAACGCTAGAACAAGACAACAACAAGTGGTATGGAATCCTGTGTGGAATCTGTATGGATCCCCCCCCCCTGCAAAGAAATGTAAAATCACATGGAGTCAGGGTGCTGGAAAGAGGGACAAATCCTTCCGGAATCTGGCCGGAATTCATGTCATAATTCATGCGAGCATCCATGCGAGTATTCTACGCGTGGACAGCGGCGGTCACCGACGAGAGACCTGCAAAGCAAATCCATGCGTCGCGTCTGCAAAATGTCTTCTTGCCTGGAATCTCGAACAACGCCAAGATCTCATGGTTTTTCGGATGCAACTCCTGGGAGGTCAAATTCAGATTTTGTCCTGGTCCGAGATCCGGCATAATCGGCGGGGTACCGCTTCAATCCAGCTAAGTCCCGCTTAATCCCGCTTCATCCGGCTTGATCCCGCTGAATCCGAGGCCGACTCCGGCGTGACGCCCCCCCAATGGGGCTTAATCCTCCCTAGTCCTTCCGACGAAGACCTCCCAATGCCTCCTCACGGTCGCTCTCTCTCTCTCTCTCTCATCATCTCTGCTCCGTGGGTGCGGACCCCCGGTGCCCGTGCAGGTACGCGCCCAACGAGGACGGCAAGGGCCAGAACGTCTTCAAGTGGAACTGCGGCATCCCCGGCAGGGCGAAGGGGCCCTGGGAGGACGCCTCGCCCTCCGGGGGGCGATCGCCGGGGGATGAGGGAGCAGGGAGGGGGAGTAATGAGGGAGGGGGAGGGGGGGGAGGAGGAGGAGGAGGAGGAGGAGGAGGAGGAGGAGGAGGAACAAATGAGATAATCGTAGTGCTATTCATGAAACAGTTTTAGTATCAACAATAATCATTTAATGATAGCACGATAAGACGAGTTCTATATCTATACTGGTAGTAATATTCAGAAGAACAATACGAATACGATACATAATACTAACATTGTGAATACAACGAGTCATATTACGAATGGTACTACAAAAATAGGAAGACGCATAGCCACGATAATGATATTAATACCACCAAGCAATAGAACGGTATGATTACTGTTCATTCTTTCGGTACTGATAATAGTAACCAGTACACAATATTGGTAATAGTAAGAATGTTGCCTATATTAAAGATGAAACTGCTAAAGCGTACGGAGGAAAAGTGGACGCCATTTGCGGGCACCCCCTGCCTGCAATTGGCCTCTGCACGGTGGGCCCGCTCGTCGTCCTGGATCGCTCGCGAATCGTGCGGTCCATCGCGGTCGGCCGCTCTTGAGGCTGCGCTTACGCGAGCCGTGTGGCCGCGCGATGCTCGCGGCAGGGGTCTCTGCCGCGAGTCGCAACATTGCGGCTGCGTCAGCGGCTTTCGCAGTGGGGGGGCCTTCGGCGCCTCCCTGCCCCTCCGCTGCTGGCGGGCGCCGCAGCAGCGGCACGGCTGGCCGGGTTGAGCCAGCCTGGCACCGCCGACAACGACAACGACGAGCAGAAGCAATGACCCTGCTTATGGTCAGCAGCGCCGCGCAGATGCTGGTGGAACACAATTCGTTTTTGACCAAGTGGACATGCAGCTTCGCAATCAACTTCGACATTGAGCATGCGCACTGCCCCAGCTGTTACAGGCACTGGAAGGCAAGCGAGCGACAGCCCGCGCAGCAGGACCAAGGCAACTGTAAGAGCACTAACAACAACATCCAAAGGCTCGCCAACGCCTAATTACCAGCAGCAAAAGGACATGACCCCATGGGAGTAGATGGCTGCTGTGGCAGAGCCAATGCTGTTGTGCCTTCGCGCAGCTACACCGTGGAAGTTTCTCCAGGCCAGCGGATGCCACCATGAGTTTGCTGACGCCAACCCGTACAAGATCGTGGATGGCATTTTGATATTGGAGCAACAGCTCAGGTTGGCCAGCCAGATGCAGGAGGACACCAGCGAGATATCATCCAAGCTCTCAATGCATCGGATAGTGATGCAGGCAGTCGAACCGTACGACCAGCAGATGAGAGTGATAAATCTGACAGCAAGGGTAGAAACGCATAAGCAAGGTGGACAACATCAGGCGGCAGTGCGGAATGGCGGCCCTCAACAGGACCAGGGCAGAGGTGGGGGAGATCACACTCACCGCGCTGGCGGGGGCTGCCGACGAAGACGTGGCCGTCGAGGAAGACACGTGCGCCCCCCCTTCACCTCGCCAGCGTCACGCAGCAATCTGCCAAGCATTCTCGCTGGTATCATCTCCGAGTAACAAGCGGGCTACCGGCCGTCGCCATCTGCGCAGCAGCCGACAGCGCCGCAGGGCCTTCCTCTGGAAACGGTGGTGGCGCAAATACTTGCCGCCCATATGCAGCCTTTGCAGGCCATGACGAGCCAGATGAGAGGCCTGGTCGCGAGCTTGGAAAGAGCGTGTTCTACCGCTGCTGGCGGAAAACGGGGGTGGGTCACTGCCGGTTTGACCCCCCCTCCTCCGGAAAACCGGGGGATGGGGGGGGGTCGCCGCCGTTTCGAACCCCTCCCCCCCAGTCCATCATGGAGAGGGGGGGTCACTACTGGCTCGACCCCCCTCCATGGAAAACTAGGGGGGGGGGGGTCGCTGCCGGTTCGAAGCCCCCCCTCTCCCCCCATCGAAAACCGGGGGGGGGGGCGCGGACAGTGGTGGTGGCGGTGGTGGCGGGGGCAGCGGTGGGGGGGCAGCGGGGCAGTGGTGGGGGCAGTGGGGCAGTGGCGGGGACGGTAGTGGTGGGGACAGAGGCGAAGGCGGTGGTGAGTGAGGACAGCGGTGGGGCAGTAGCACGGCGGGGAAAGTGGTGGGGACAGAGGGGGCAGTGGGGCAGTGATGGAGACAGCGGGGACGCTGGGACAGCACAGTGGGACAGCGGCGGGGACAGTGGGGCAGTGGTGGGTAAAGTGGGGGCAGTGGGACAGTGGTGCGGACCGTGGGGAAAGTGGGGAAAGGGGCACCTTGGTGGGACAATGGTGGGGGGAGTGGGGACATTGGCACACTGGGGGGGGGGGGGGCGCTGGTGGGGACAGCGGGGACAATGGTGGGAACAGTGGGGGCAGTGGGACTGGGGGCGGTGGTGGTGGGGACAGCGGTGTGGGGACAGTGGGAATGTGGTGGAAGCAGTGGGACAGTGGAGGGTACAGTGGTGGTAGGGGCAGTGGTGGGACAATGGGACAGAGGTGCAGCGGGGGCGGTGGTGGGGGCAGTGGGGGCAGCGGTGGGAACAGTGGATATCTCAGTGGGGCAGCGGAGGAGTCAGTGGGGCAGCTGGGACAGTGGGGATAGTCGGGCAGTGGTTGGGGCCGTGAAGAAAGTGGGGAGAGTGGAACCGTGGTGGGAACAGTGGTGGGGGCAGTGTGGGGGGGCGGTGGTGGAACCAACGGGGACAGTGGCGGTGAGGACAGTTGTGCTGGGGACAGAAGTGGGGGGTGTGGTGCAGACGGCGGTGGGGATCGGGAGTCGTTTGCTGGCGATGGGGGGGGGGGGTCAAACCGGCAGTGGCCCCCCCGCGGTTATCAAGGGGGGGGCTCGAATTGGAAGTGACCCCCCCGGTTTTCGAGGGGGGGGGGGGTTCGAGCCAGTAGTGACCCCCCGCGGTTTTCTCGAGGGGGTGGGGGGGTTCGAGCCGGCAGTGGCCTTTCTTTGGTTTTCTGGGGGGGGAGGGAAGGGGGGTTCGAACCGGCAGTGGCCGCGCTCGGTTTTCGAGGGGGAGGGGGGGCGGGGTTCGAACCGGTAGTGACCTCCCCCGGTTGTCTGGCCGGGTTCCGGAGCAAGAGGCGGGGGCATTTTCCCACGCTCAAGCGGCGGTGGATCAGGCGCGGTCCGAGCTTGCAATGCATATCCGGAATGCCCCGCGAGCGTCTTCTCCAGCTTCGAGAGCTACTGCGCCGCCACTGGGCCAAAGGCTCAATGGCCGCCTTGTTGTTCAAGGGATCAGGCGACCCATCGTCGTGCAATGCTACTGCAGCGCCTGCCTGCGCTCCCTCGTCATGGGGGTTCACCAATCATGGCTCTGCTGTCAGATGCTGCCTTTCGCCCTCGCTCTCATGATGCGCGCCCAGGTTGGCGGCGCCCCGCGCAAATTGTCCGGGCGCGCGTCGCCCCGTCTGCGCGGCTATCTGAAATGGTTCCAAAGGCAGGGTGCAGGCGCAGTCGGGTACTTCTTGAATGTGAGATCCGCGGAGGAGGCAGAGCATGCGACGTCCACCGTGGAGGCGCCTAAGGAGTTCCAGTGCAACGCTCGGGGGCTAACGCGGCTGACGGCTCAACCCGTCATTTTCAGCGCCGCGTTGCGCGGGGGGGCGCCTGAGCGCTGCGCCCGGAGGATGGCGCCTTGCGTCGTGGTTCAAGGTGCCCAGAGAGGCCCGATATTGTTCGTCCAGGGAAGGGCCAGGCGAGAACGCTGCGATCTGTTCTTCGAATCGCTCTACTCCACGGCGCGGGGCAACCTCGCCGCGAACCTCGAGCAGGGAGACGTGCTCGCCAATTTGCCCGAAGTTCAGCGCTGCTTCCAGGCTTGAGGTGGGGCCTGTCACCAGCAGGTGGGCGAGGGCGCATTCGTGGGCGATGCTTGCATTGTGGCGGCCTTCGTCAACTGCCTCGACCAACCGCGGACACTTGCCACGGTGGCCAACGTAGCCCTCGACGCGTTCGGCCCCCATGCGGGCTGCCCATCGCCATCGGAAGGCAAGACGGAGCCCCCTTGCTCGCAGAGGGGCGACCGTTCTAGTGGCGCGCGCGCAGCTGTTCACGGGCGGGCAACCCGCGGCCCACGCCCCGGGCATCGAGGCCCAGGCCCCCGTCGCCAAAGGGAGTTGCCACCTTGGGGCCGCGCAGACAGACGGCCAGAACGCGCGGGGAGAAGTCGGGGACAGAAGGGGGCAGACAGAGCTGGGCCCTGGGACCGCCTCGCAAAGTTGCATTCAAACGCGCTGGATTGTCGGCGGCAGCGAAGCGGAAGCGCGGCAATTAGCGCCTGCGCCGCTGCCGCGGCTCTACGGCGCGAGGAGCTGGCCGAATCTCAAGCCAGTTCAGCCCGCGGCAATGGGCGGCGCATATGCGAAGACGTTCAGGCTCGCGATGCCCATGAAGAGCTGCTGCGAGGAACGCTTCGCCAACGGCCAGGCTCAAGCAGAGGCGGGCGTCGAGGACTTCTGGGCACTGCTGTCCTACCGCAGATTGGGGCTACTATCTGTGGTCCTTGAAGAAGCCTGCCCGCAACTCTTGAGGCATCTGGTCCTTGCAGCAGATCAAGGCGAGAGTAGGTCTGGCCAGATCAACCCGGACATCCGATGGCCGCGCAGCCTCGTCGCCTTCGACGACGCGCCTTGCACGGGGGCAGCGCTGGGTGTCTGGCTGCAGTTGTGCGCAGCGCAGCCGCGCGCGTGCGGGCCCAGGGCAGGCGCGGGCGGTGGCGCGGGGATTGACGACACCTCGCAGCGCGACAAACGGAAATGGCGACTGCGGGCCCGAAGCCACAGCAGACAACGGCAGAGGTGCTCGACGTCGCCGATGTAGATGACGAGCAAAAAGAGGGCGATCACGAGGGGAAGCAGGACGCCGGCCACATCTGCCACGAGCGCGGGGCCGCGTGCGCCGCCGCGACGGGCCTCGCCACGCGGCCAACTGCCGCGCGGGGTGCGACGCGGCGGAACGACGCAGCAGAGGGGCCACGGGCGCCCATTGCTT